TATGTATGTATCTATGCACATACATACATAAGTACTTAGGTATGTATATCAGCATTTTAGTTGAAAGTACGTTTTGCTCGTCGCTCTCTTCATCGCTCCACTACATTCCTGTCCTAAGTTTTTTTTAGATACCACAAATGCGCGATCCAGAAAATTCTTCTATCATTCTTGCCACAAATGTATGTTTTCTTCGAAAATACTCAAGTACTACCAGTAGAGTACTCTACTATCAAATACCTTTTACTCGCAGTAGTTGCGGAAGGCAAAGTAAATACTCTACGCGTGTTGCTATTGATCGGTAGTTTATGTACGCTTGCTGAAACTGGTTTATGCTTACTCATACTTGACCCGAACGATGAAAGTAGGGGATGGAAAGTATTTGCGCGGCGATCGGATGTCTTGTTGGGCCGTTTAAATGGAATTGCGCTGGAGTCTAATGCCTACATACAAATACATGGTAAGTGCAGCAATACTCACAAATTTACCAGCAAATTGCTGTGTCAGTTTTCAATATCTACGAACATTCAAACTCTTATCTCTGCTGTCACATCAAATCAAATGTCCAGCTTTACCAGCTGCCTACCATTCAAATGAACGAGCCTACAAAAATTGTTAACATAAACAAAACATAGCGACAAAACTTATATAAACAGTAAACCCTCGACACGATTTATAATGATGCGACCAACAAAGCGAACAAAAGCAAAAAATAAACAAACCAACAAACGCGTAGTATTCATAGCGGCAGCGGGCCGAGTTGTTGAAAGGCAAATCGGTATGAATTTGTACGGGCGCGTGACTGCGGTAGAGCACGACAATAAGGTAGTTGAACTTCCGGCACTTACACCGGCAGTACACCACACCGCCCTTCGAAAAACGCCGCCACAGCGACAACCGCAACAAAATCTGAATCACCGAATCTGCTGTCAGCGAGTAATCAACGAACCGTATCGGTTGGATTTGGGCTTGTTAGCTGTGGCGAACGAGCAAATAAAGAAATATTTATGTATGTGTGTGTGTGTGTGAGTGAGAGTGTGGGCAGGCAGGCTTGTGACATTCTGTGTCCCATTTAATACCAATATTTTCATATTTTGTGGGTAGTCGGCTAGAGCCCAGCGAGAAATTTAAGCGCTTAATACTCGTTTCTAAGAAAGAAAACTTCGCATCTCATCAAATAGCTGTAAAGGAGCTATAACTATGCTTAGGTCATTTCGAGATTCCGTTTTTCGATAGTGATTAAATGGTCATAATCTAGTTAGAACCGGCAATGATATCATCAATAGTGCTATGTTTGGTTTGCCATTTCATCATGAATATTTGGAAATTTATGATTGATTCAATCTGTTGCTCCACCGAAATACCTTGTTCAGAAATAAGGAAAAATTTTGCCTCCAAGGACAAGTCAATAAATAAAAATTCAGAGTTTTTCTCAGTGTTTGGTGTGCTTTATAGTCCAGTGGAGAGTGACTGAGACTAAAATTTTGCGCTTGTATTGGAAGCTCTGCAAGCGCTGTACACCACTGATATAGAGCCAAACGATATTATTTTCACTCCTAGCTTTCCGTCCAAAGAATACATTGCATTTTTGCCATACAACCAATCCAAATTGCACTGGAAAAAAAGTCGCTAACAAAGTAAGTGGATTGAGGACTAATATTTTTTTCCATCGTCCTGTGTGTTGCGACAAACACCATTTGCCTAACAATCGATGCCGCTAGCTTTACATAGTATATCTGCTGTTTAACCATAAGATCAGTTTCCCATCTCTTAAAATTTAGCTACAAATCATAATATTGAAATGTCGGTATTTTCAAAGACTATAGACAAACTATGAAAATAACAAATTTCGACGGTAAAACTGATGACGCATGATTTATAGACTTTTTCATATGCGTAAAGTATTTGGCCCACTGCGAACTCGGTGCCTCAAAGGTGTGTTTTTCAATGAGTCAATGTCTACTTCTGGCAATGAAAATTCATTGTGCATGCAATTTATACTGGCTGTACGGTAACAGAAGATATCATTAAAGTCAAAGTAAGAACCGTACGGCAGGTGGGCCATCAACACTCATTGGTTGAGTGCAAAAAAAAATAATTTTTTTTTACCATATTGAAAGACCATTTGTCGTTTTTCGTTGTTAAGTTTTACTTCTTTTGAAAGATCTACAAAGCTGATTGGCCTTTTCTTCCATACTCATAGGCATGTATCCAAATTAAGTCACCATGGCCGGTTGTTGTGTTCGATGCATTGCTGTGTTCGATGCCAGCCTTTTTTGAGTAATTGTAACATTAATTTTTATCCAATGCGTAAATGCATGCCTTTTCTATAAAGTGTGGCACTAATCTCATTGTGTGTCACATGAGTATCTTTAATTATTTTCCTGCGCACAGCGTCGATGTTTTCTGGCGTACAAAACGATATTGGACGACCTTCTTGATGTTAGTCGACGAGTGAAATACCACACTGCCACTTGATGATGTTTCATCATCAAAGGCTAGAAAAAAAACAAGTTCTTCGATGCACTATTGCTGTGTTGGCCCCCGTCGCAAATTGCAAAGAATCATCCAACGAAAATCTGCTTTTGAAATATTCCTTTTTTTCGTCCTCTTTAAATTTTGAAGTAACTTTTAACAAAAGACGACTGTCAAAATGAACTCGTTGGTGTTTTCGGGTGTCAGCTACCATTAATAAATGGGGCAGAATACGTACTTTATAACCACTTAAAATCTATGCAAAATAATGGAAATTGAAAGATTGTAATGTGATACATATCTAATTTGTTAATGAAAAATATAGAAAAACCCCTTATGCCGCTTCAGTGCCTATTGGCTAATTAAATTTGCAGCCTTCGTTATTGAAAATGGGCGCCCAGAAATATAACGGTTTTTTTTACAATTCTGAAGAAGACTTTATTTTACTAAAATCGAGAGATTGTATCATTCAATTATCTATTTAAGAGCAACATAATTTGCTATTCAAGAAAAATATTTATATCGAATTAAAGTGAATTTCAAATTTTAATCAATTTCGCTTTAATTAAAATCTTCTCGAAAGTCTTTATGATTCACTTACTTACTTCCTTAGTAGCAAAATTTCTACACTTCCGCAATACACTACACATACTACACACACACGTGCAAATTGAGCGAGTTTATAGAACTACTTGCGTAATATTCCCCATTCTGTTTAAAATTATTAATCACTGGCTATTATTTCACAAGCTGGTGTTGTTGTTGCTGCTGCTGCTGTTTGCTGCGTTGTATTTGTTGTGGCAAACAAAGTACGAGTGTTGAAATTCCATACTGTCATTTGTCGTTTGTCAGTTTTAATTGAATGCGATAAACTTGTATATAAGCTTGTTACTACATATGTTTGTGCATGCCTGTGTTTGTGCATGCATGTGTATTTATGTATGCATTTATATGCAGTATGTATTCGTGTGTTGAAGCACAATCATGCTTGCGTTTATTCGTGCACAGTCATGCCACTTAATTGGGTCAATATTAATACTTATATCATCATGTTGATAGAGTTACTACCAGCATTCGTTTAAACGTACATAAATACATAGCTATACATTTACGTTCTACACATGCACGTATACACTCAAGCATGTATTCAATAATGGTGCTAGGCCACCCCAAACATGATATGTGATGATTAGTGATGATATTCTAATGAAAATTATTAAACTCTGTTCTTTTCATTTATTGCACTTAAGCATCGAATATTATTGATTTAATTCTTTTCAAATATTTTCAGCTAGGATAGCCTCAATATACGGAGTATGTATTTGTATTAACCGATCTCAGTGAGAACATTCACAAGACTTGGTAGGCATCTGAAAATAAATCGCTCATACGCCCTGCCTTCCCATAGGCTTGATTCTGATTTTGTCACTTCAAACAGGGACGACGGAACGTTCATGATCGTTATATTAAAATGCATAATTTAACCGTTGAAATTCTTTTTATTATTATTATTTTTATTTCAATCAAATTTAATTGTTATTTTTGAACTTTTAACCGACTTCAAAAAAAGGAGGAGGTTATCAGTTCGTCGGAATACTTTCCTTTTATGTATGTTACCACATAACTTTGGACCACGTTTACCAGATTTCCATTATAATAAAGGAAAGTTGGTACCTCTGAGGTGGTCCCATACCAAATTGGTTTAGATCCCATCATTAGATCACGGTACTCTTAAATTTTTGAATTGAAATCGGTTCTGTTTTTTGCTTAAAAATTACTTGTTATTTTATCGATAAATTGGGTCGTTATTTTGGATTTTTTTTCCGATTATAACTTAGCCGTTGTTTTCAAAAATATATATTTTTTTTAATTATAAAGTATTTAAAAAGTCATAAATTCTAAAAATTATCCATTATTTTTAATCGAAAAAAATACAAATTTAATGGTTATTAATACTGGCAAAAATAGAAAAAAATTATGAAACAATTTTTTTTTCAAATGCTCAATATGTCCAGTTGTTCTTTCTAAATGCAGTGGTTACATAAGAATAATTATTAAATAATTGTGGTTACTCACATCCTTATATTCTTAGAAAAACTTAAGTAACTATTATTCTTTTTCTCTCTACATGCCGTAGCTCTACCAGTTGGTTCAAACTTACACCTAAATTCATAAAAAATAACGAAAATTTTAATTGCTTTATAAACTTAAAATTTTTATAAAAATGTTACTTTATCGATATCTTTAAATCTACTTTATTTTTTACGATGTGTTCCAGGCCGACGTTGATTTCATTGTTCATCCAGTGGTGCCAAGTCGAAGGATTTGATAACGGGAAACGCAAATGGTGTTAGGGATGTTTCGATCAATTTCTCTCTCTTGTCACAGGTATTCTTGTGAAGCTCGAATTTTCCTACCAAAACCGATTTTAAGAGGCATTCACAAAATGTTCACCTGTTCATATCGCCCTTTTCTTCTATTCGACGAATATTGCTGAGCCTAATTTCGAATCAGTCTGTGTTAATTTTTTGCTCGAGGGCGTGAACCTGGAGAAGAGTTTTCTGGGTCTCCGCTCAATCACACATCTCACAGCAAACCTATTTAAGGCCAAAATATCTGAACCGCTTACGAGTTGTCATAGATTTGCACAAAATTCCGACCTTTCACCTGAACTTTAAGGCGCTACGAATACTTTAAATTCGTCTCCCCTAGCTACTTTCCCTCTGTTCTGCAGTGTGCACAAATGTAATGGTAGGAAATACAGAAAACGAGAGCTAAAGATAATTATTGCAAAGAAAAAATAACAAGAACGGCATTACGAGTAGAGTTCAGTGAAGCAGTGAAGTGCATTGGGGAAAACAAATCTACACAGTCAACATAAATCTCATCAAGCGCATCACAAAGCAACAACAAATACAAATACAAAGCACAGCGGCACTTGAAGCAATACCACAATTCGAGTACGAAGGCCCAATAGTGGCAGCAACAACAGCGGAATGATTGTAGCAGCAACACTGATGGCAAAAGCAGCGGCAGCAGCAGCGGCAGCAACAGCAGCAACATTAGCACTTGGAGTGCCACAAAACGCATCAACATGAATAACAACATTGACAACAGTTGCAGCCTCAATACAATTACCATCAACACTCAAGTTAGTAACAGCAACAACAGATGGCATTAGTGAGTGGCGGAGGTCGCCAAAAGCAATTCATGGTAACGCAGACACAGCCATTGACATAGACATAGACATAGACATAGAGGCACAGTCACAGTCACAGACACAGATACGGATGCGAACTTAATGTGCGAGTACAACGTAATAGGAAAACAAAAACAAATAACAGTACAACTGACAATTGTTTTGTATGGAGTAGTCAAGAACGAAAAAAAAAACAAATAGTAACTACAACAACAAATAAAAATACAACAAGCAGATATTGCAGTGTAGAGCTGCTGTATAGTGCCACAATTGTGCTAGCTGGCCATGGAAGCAAAGATAGCAGCTTTTAAGTGTTTTGGGACTAAAATGTCGGACAAAATCGTATACACAACAACCAACCTACACAAATACATACATACATATGTATGTATATAAGAGCGTACGTATGTATGTATGTGCGGGCGTGTTTGTTTCGTTTTGGCAATTTCGCTTTTGTCTGCTGCCTGCTTAACAGTTGATATTATTGTTATTGTTATGCCAGCTGCTGAAGCACAATTCTCAAAATGGGTTTGCAATGAGCACCAAAGCGACACTGCAGAATCAGAAGCAGGGGCAGAAGCAGAAGCAGAAATGGTAGCAGCAGTCACATACTTAATCAGTGCTGCATTGAATAAATCGAATGAATCGTTGCTTTGGTTGATCCGCAAGACAGACGAGCAGCAAATCGAAAGCAAAAACATAGAAAAAAAGAAATAAAATGGTTCGAAAAGGAAAAAAAAAATTCCATTTGAAATTAGAAAATTTTCAACGACTCAGAAAGGAGAGATTAGAATAAAAAGCTGAAAAAATAACAACAACACGTCTTCTTCATGCAGTGGCAGTACAAACTACGGCTTTTGAAAGTCAATTACAATAGAGCTACTATGTACTATTATCTACATATAGCATTGGATGACTGCTTACGCTGAGCTGGCGGATATGTACAAGGACAATATGCCACTGACACGAGACTAACTATAGTTACATCCGCTCCACTTCTTTGTTTAGGTATGCTTTTACTTACTTTCTTAATTCTGAGCTGTCGCAGTGAGTGCATGCAATGAGCTAATTAAAGTGTTGTGGCTTTATAAAGCGATTTACTAATTGCTGCAAATCGAATTTTATAAAGATTTCATTAAATTATTACAATTAATATGTAAAATTAGTTAGATTTTTTTAGAATTTTTTTGAGTGTGTATTTTTAAAGCCATTAAAAATGCAAGTTTGAAGTTGCTAAAAATTCGCGTTGAGATTTTTATTTTGTTGAAGGCGTGTCGCATTTTCTTAATACAAAGTATTTATTTATTTTAAGGAAGAAAATACGAAAAAAAATGCGAAAACCCCATTGTAAGTCCTAGCTACTTCAAGCTTCCACTTTGGTGTGCTAAAATTTCATAGGCTGTAAAACAGCATACTTCAAAAAAAATCTAAAAAAGTTGAAAATTTGCATTTATTGAATTTCAATGAGTTATTCACAAAGTTTGGGAAATGAGCCGCTGGGAGGCATTTTTACTCTCACACACACATTCTCATTTTTGATCTCAAATTGTAACCATTTTGAATAAATGACCGACGAATTGAGCGAACGGTTTTACGTTACTAGCTTCTGCATAGTTTTCGCTCAGATATTACAGAAAAGATAGTTGATGGCGGAAACCGCAGTTGCTGTTTAGTTCGATCTTCATAGTCCCTGAGTGTTTGGAGTGTGTAATTCAATAGGCTGGCAACACGAGTCCTGCTTTGTATTCTACCGAAGCTACATATGTTTTAACGATATATAGCCCCTCCCTATGTTCAGTATCTATGTTTAAATGTTACTGGCATGAATAGTTAGGTATGTAGTCGGAGCGAGAGAAAGGCATCTAGTGCCTCATAAATGATCCTTTTTCCACGCCATATACAATTTTGCACCGATGAAAAATTTTAAAAGTTACTAATACAATCAACATACTCACTAAACTAGGGGTCAAAAGTAGTAAAACTGCGTTTTTTGTTTCGCTCTCTTGCATCAGGTTTTTTTTATAATGGACTTTAAATTTCAAAATTATTGTTACATACATATATCAAACAAATTATTTTAAAAATTTCAGTTCAGTGCAGAATAATAATATGGGTGTAAAATTAAGCAGAAAATTCCGTAGAATTTAATGAACGTTAAAAATTTAAGTTCACTTGGCCGAATAGGTATTGAAAATGCCTTTCTACTTGATTTTATTTTTTAAGCTAATAATGTTAGAAGGCCGAGGATGTGATCGTGTGTATATTTTTCCTTATACAAAATTTTTCAAAAATACTTACATAATTTGAAAAGGACTCTTCACTACCTATTTTTCCTTATGCGCCAAACAAATTTTAACCTTCTTAATTTTGCAGAATTTTCTCTTTTGGCACTTAGTTTCAAGAATATATGGTTTTTTTTTGTGTGTAGAATTGACTGTCACACGAAAATTTTCACGCGAGAATATCCACTAAAGCGTTTAAAAAAGTAAAAGATCTGATAGTGCAATAACTGCGTCACCTGTACTCGTTGATGTTGCTTGATTTTATCGATAGAATAGGTAAATTATTTAATTCGCTTGCAGCGTTTTTCCGTCCACAGTATTATTTCTTTACTTTTCTTTTGTTGAGTCCCAGTAGAATGCCATTCAAAGTTACCACCCATAAAGTCGGTGATACATCGTCTTCTAGGCGGTTTCTCTATTCGCAAATCAGGTGATTTTCTTTGAAGTCCTGCTTGCTTGAAATCTTGATTATTTAACCCAATTTACCATTTATAGACAATGGTAGCCAGTTCCCTCCAATACTCTGAAATCGGTATCAAATATAATTTCAATGCCAATAGTTGTTTTATTAAGTAATATCGCTTGCGCGTATTTATATAGATCACAAAATACTAAACTAACAAATACTAAGCGATATGTACGCGTGTAAGCATTCAATGTTAACTCTTTTCAAACACCAAATAATTATCACATTTCCAAGGTTTTCCTAAGCAAACAACTCGATGGAATGTGCCTCTTCTTCAGTTAACGACAGCACTGCACACTTCTTAGGAAATTGTCAATCCAAACTATTTGTCATATTATGCTTGCGAGCACTATCAGACAGACAGACAGCTGAATAGCGCAGAGAGCCCCAAAAGTCTGCAAGTATGTATAAGGAAATCAGTAACGCAAATTTCAAATCGATTTAGCAAGTAGCACAGTGGCTGCGGATTTTGTCAATATGTGCCTGAATTTTTTGCAAAGGCTACTGCTGTGTGTTGACTGATGTGTTCAAGCTTATCTAAACAATTCATGGTTATTTACTCGACTACAAATGCAGGCAGTGGCATTAGAGCCAACGTATCCTCCACGCAAATAAATGCTCATTCGTCTAAATAAAGCGTACATGCTTTTGCGAAAACATGCAAACGCTTTTGCACAAGCAAGAAAACGAAGCCGAGTTTCATTCCACTAAACAATCGTATGTTTACATTTTTGTGTCTATTTTTATATATGTATGTACATATTAGGGCATTCAATTGCGAGATTGCGGGATCCCGGACACTTTTCCATGTCCCAATATCCCAGGATTAAAGCTCCGGGATCGATCCCGAGGTTTTAACTGTGTTATTTACGAAATAGAAGAGATGTTGAAAACAAAAACAAAAAATGAGATTTACAGTACACCAAAATTTTAATTCAAAGTGAACTTGAGCCATTTGCACTCCGACGCGAATTTCAGAACCTGCCTGAATAACTGTACTTGTTCGAACATTTGGTGGAAAATGAATTTAGGAAGGGATTTTTACAATTAATATAGATATTTAAGAATACTATAAAAATATTTAGACATTGAATTACGGACACTTTTACTAGGGTGCATTATGCTCCCTGTAAGACCAGAAACGGTGACAATGAATCTGTGTGTTTTAAAAAAGGCCAACCTACTGTTAAATGCAAATGTTGTGATGAAGTCGAATTCCCGAAAAATCACGGGATTGTTAAAATGCTTCGGAATTGAATGCTCTAGTACATATGTGTGTGTGTGTGCTCTGACATGCTGCCTATGTGGCCGTGACACCGACTTTCGGTTCGTCAATAATGTGCGTACTTTTTTTTTTTGCTCTGCTGCTACACTCAAATGGTATCTAAGGGCATACAAGAGAACATGTTTTTCTTCATATGTATGTAAATAGATAACCTAGTAAATGTATGCACATTAGGGTGGAGCGGAAATAATAACAAAATGCATTTAAACGTCACTAGAACGCTACTAAATGTTTTAAGTCTCTACGAAGTATCGCCGATATTCTTTTTTTTGTCAAGGTGTCACGCATTTTATTCCATAAAAAGCAGGTTTGGCAATTTTTTATATCGAGAAAATGAGCAATACTTTCAGCAAAAAAAAAATAAATAAAAGTAAACATCAAGGGTAAGTCTAAGCAACTTCAAACTTGGACTTTAAATTTAATGACCTGCCAAACTGCATACCTAGAATTTTTCTAAAAAGTGAACTACGTCATTTGTTTAGAAATTACAAAAATCTCAAAATATCAATCCAAAGAAGGAGGCAGAAAACAGTTTTAGGACTATTCTATTGACATCCACAGCAACGATGCCACGACTATTAGAACTTCGAAACACAGAATTTTTTGTTCCCGCTCCACCCTAATACAAATGCCACTCATACGCTTCGAATAACTACAGAGGATATGCGTATATTGCCTGTGATTTTTCGTTGACACAATTTTTTTTTTATATTCGAAATTTCCATTTCAATCTAAGCCACAATTTATGGTTAAGTCCCAAAAGGGATTTTCTGCTTACATTCATGTATTGACAAATACTTCTGCAACTACACTCACACTCACACTCACACTTACACATTAAGCGCCTGACATTTTGCACATTCGAATGGCGGCCATTTATAGCAGCGAACAATCGACCGAAACCAAGTGAACGCAGTGCTGCACTCTAAGCTGCCGGCCATTTCGAATCGTAACAAATTGCTATTGGGATCGTTTTCGGCATGCTCACTCGATATTTAATTTCTTTTATTTTTTACTACATATACCGCATGCATGTATGTGTGTGTAGTTAGGTTAAGTACTGCGTAAAGAAATATGTATGTGGTTTTTACTTATTTAATTTTAATAGGTTCTTATTTTTATTTTCTTTTAATTTTTTCTTTCCTCAACAAGCACTCTACATACATATTTATGTACATACGCTTGCTTTTGGTAGCTAGCTTGACTTTTGCTTTTTCAATTGATTGCTAACAATTACAAGTCCACATATCCGTGTGCCAGTATACGCCCGCCCATGCTAATCTCAGTCGATCAGCTACGTCAATCAGCACTTGACTTGCAATCAAGCAGGATTCTCCGCAATACTGCTCCTCTACTTAGGCTGACTCGAAGTGAAAGCAAAACTGTAATTGCTGTATTCACCGAATCAATGACTACGTACATATGTATGCATTGTTTGCTTGTGTATGTACATATTTACCAACCATAGCATTATAAGCATTTGCTTGGCTGCTTTGCAATAAGCGTACGCAGTTGTTGTGTCATTTTCGCATTAGCTTCGGTTGGTTACGTATACGCAATGTAGTACTTTACCTACAATCACACTTAAGTGCGAAGATGTGTATGTATTTACGTTAGAGTGTAGCGCAAAAACGAAAGAAATATTTCGTGTGTAAGTCGATTTTGATCAAGCACTGTGAAAATAAGGGGAATCTAAAACACTTTCTTTGTAGCAGCCCGCAGAAACAATTCAATCGAAATGATCTATTTTTCTCCATTTTTTATGGACGACTGATACACCATTGTAAAGCATTTAACAAATGTTTATGAGTTAGAATATGTAGCTGAAGTTCATTGTGTTTAGCAGAAGCTTTAATTTTCAAAATGCAGTCAAGGGCAAGAGATGATTTAACCTCAAAGCGCAGGAAAGACTTGAATCCCGCCTTACTGGCGGGAAGGATTTGGATTTTCGCATAAACTGCCGCTTAAAAAATTTTGGGAATTTTTCCATTAGCACAGAAAATCAGACGCCATGGTCGACTGGTTAGGTGTGCGCATAGCCACTGGGCAGGTCGATAAAAGGTCCGAGCAACATCCAAAAAGGCATCCAAGGTCACCCTATCCAGACGATGAACCATCAGTGTTACCAAGAAAGCTAAGGGGAGTCCGAAAATTTCGAGCTCTTTAAATGGATTTTAAACAGAACTTTCCGAATATGAGCTTCCCTTATAATTATTCACCATTTTACTTACTTACAGTCAATTTGTTCGTCTGCGTTTCAATTATGCTGAACTCTCGGTAGTCCTTAACTACATCAAAGTTACAACTTCCAACAGTGATATGTGTCCCAAACTGCGAGGACCGACCTCTTTTCTATTCTATCAGCGCCGTACTTGTCCTGTATATGGTGCCGTGGAAAAGGTTTATTCCGCGGTAATTTTCGCAAAACGGCGGGTTCTCTTTTCTTGTGTGTTATGAAAAGTACAGTTAGACTCCTATATCCAAGGATATATTCAATAGTCCGAATTCTGAAATACTTGGGAAATTCTGTAACGATTTCTTTACGAGCTTTCAAAAAAAAAAAAATCGTAAAGAGGGGCTGGCATGGACTCGTTAAGAAATTTCTGTATATTTTCCAAAATAAACTTGTAAGAGGTTTCTTCCCATCGCAGCGTTATTATTATTACTTTAACGGTATTCTTCCGAGAATTCGAAAACAGAATTGAAGTGTTTAACGTACATTTCATTTAAAAACACTCTCCAAAAATATGAGAGGGAAATGACACATTACTCTGAAAGTATGCTTTCCTGGGTAGGTGTTTAAAATCAACTGCAAGATTTTGTATTTCTCTTTGCCCCATACGAAGGGATGCGGTTTAATGTAAAAAAGTACTTAATATATTTGCACAAACATGCCTACATACATACATAAGTACTTGACTGAAGCCGACTGCTTCAAATCGTTTTATTTTATTTTATGCTTTCTTATGTTGCAAATCCAATTTATTGCAATCTTTTTATGCTCCTTTCTTACTTGCTTACTCTAGAGCCGCTGTAACTGATTTTTCATCACATTTACAACTACATAAATACCTATGTACATACATATATCTACGCATTTGTATACATGTACATACATACATACATATATATACTATTCAATGCTTTTTCACATTATTGACATTTACGAGCGCCACATTTGATGACGTTAAAAAATATGTATGTATGTATAAATGTGTATCAGTATACACGCACAAAATATGTTTCGGTAAAAAATGATTTGCGAAGCGAATTTTATTAGAAATTTATGACAGCTGATATGATGTTCAGTTTTTATTTATTTATTTTTTTCATTTATTTTTTTTTTACTTTTATTTCTATTTTCATTTACATTTTATTTGCACTGTAATTGCATTGAATTAAAATGAACTTCAATCGAATCGATGAAGCGTAAATTCATTTTATTGATGAGCAAAGTTCCACAAAATTGTTATTGCATGGATATGGCTTAATACAAACATAAGTTGTGTATACGTTTATATGTTCTTACATACATACTCAGATCCATGCGTATACAATATTTTCACATGCAGCTGCTCGCTTCGGAAAAAATTTAATTTTTATAAAAATGAATAATACTAAAGACTATGCATATAACATAGTAGGCGGCCGTCATATCCAAGTAGTTAGAGTTTGAAATTTAGGTGACGCTTTTTTGCATTCTTTTGTAGTTTTCTGCAATATTTCAAACTTGGGTTTATATGTGTTTTATTAGAGAATGAACTGGATTTTCATTGAAAACTCTTGAAAATAAATAAATAAATATGGGTGGCAAACAATATCACTTTGAAATGGGGGTGCTATTGATATGACCGATACTGACATTTAAAAAAATAAAAAAAAATGTTTTTTCTGAAGCGTTCGCCCATCGAATGACCTCCGCGTGGCAGAAGGCAAAAAAAAACGCTTCTCATAAAAACCATCAGTTCGAAGGCGAAGCTACGTAAACAGGCACCTAATGTACATTAAGGTGGTCCAAAAGTGCATGTGAGAGAAAATCGAGGTCTGTATTATTATGCTCTCACTACCTAGGATTGTTCTATATCGGAAAGTTAACCCCTGCTTTTTTTAAATCAAAAAATATTTAGAGGTCGCACAATGCGCTCAAAGTTGCCCATGTATTTTTCGTATGAATGGTGTAGAATTCTTGAAAAGATATATTTTTCGATCGGAAAACGCTGTTTTACTTCAAGATACTTTACTTTCAATAATAATACAAAATTTTTTATTTAACGATTTTTTAATGGTAACTAGTTTTTATATGTTCCCAAAAAACTTCAAAAAATGCAGTGCGGAGACCCATAAGAAATAGTTAATAAATATCAAGAAAAGGTTAAGCAAATAATTGGATATATAATTTTTTTTTGTTTGTTTGTAAAATTTATTAGAAAAAGTTGTCAGGGATCTTGCATAGGTAAGTAACCTAAAAATAATTAAATAATAGCAAAAGTTCATATTGATCAACTACTAGCATTGCAGTTCACCACTTAGAGACCAGCTTTGCACTGTTCGCCTTGTCCCATAAAACAGTGCGACCAGATAATACAAATATTCTCTTACAAATGTAGAATTGCCAGACATATAAAGTACTTATTCGAACGTAATTCTGCTACAGATATTATCTTTCCATATGAAACACATGGAAAATTTTGAGCGGCCTCTAAAAATTTTTTGATTTTAAAATAAAAAACAGGGTTATAATTTTTTTCGGTATAGAACAGTCTTCGAGGGTGCGACATTAAAATTGGGACTTTACTTTTTTCCACATGCATTCTTTTGGACTACCCTAATGTCCATACTCAGCGCCTGGCGAAGAAGCAATCAAAGTTTGATCGTTTGAAACCTACATACATAGTTGGTATATAAAAAAAATAGATATAAAGACGCATATCTTCGCCATACTTTAAGAGTTTAGTTATATTTTAGACTCCTTATCAGGCTTTTCAATTTTGTGTTAGAGTCTCATAAAACGTGAGTTTTGAATTAATTTTTGTTATTATTAAACGAGCGTTGCTTTAATGTAGGTCACAAGAGGCAGTTAGTCTGTCCCTCTCGCTTCTCCCCTTCTTTCGCTTGCTAGAATATAGACAAATAAATTCCTTTACTATCAATTTGCAAGAAAGAAACAACAAAGCAATTTCTATGGGTACTAAGTTGTCTTGCCTTAACGTATATCGAAATTACTTTCTATGACAGTGGAACTAGGAAATTCCAGAAAATTTGTACAATTCGTTTTTATTTAACGAATTCCTGCAAGGAGCTTTGCTCAGTCCTTTGCAAGTTTCTGCTCAAATAAATAAAAAGTTTTTATAGCCGGGTTGTCATTTGTTGTTAAAGAAATATGTATGTATGTGGCATAAATGGCATTACCCTAAATGACATTTTCACCAAGATATATAGAATAAACTCTATTTGTTTTAATATAATGGCATATCCATTTATAAATGTATTTATTCACTCACACTTAAATCTATTCTTCATTTGCTATCTTTTAGGACTCTTGCGACTGCAACAAATTTACCAAGGACTCAAACCGGGCAACGAGTCATTTCAAGTGGAGATGGTTAAACGTATTGCCAACATAACAATGGCCATCGACTTTCTGCATACGCTCGAGGATTTGGGACGCTTCAACAACAAATACATTGTGCTCGATTGTCCAACGGAAATGGCGAAACAAATACTCATACAACATGTGCGCGATATATCGCTAGGACGAAGGACGTATCATTATTTGTTAAGCGGTTTGGTAAGTGAAGTTTTTGGCATACAGACAAACATACAAATAGAGATAATAAATATGCGCATACACACAAACGTGCATACATTCCTATATGTACATATTTATGTTTATGTATATAAATTTCTATGAAGCCACAATGCTCTTACATTTAAAGCCAAGTAAATACATAAATCGTTCTGCATGACTGCCAAACCACAAATGAACAAAAGGTGAATGTGTGCACACTTACACGGGCATATCACTACATACAAATACGTAAAGCGAAAGCAAAAGTTGGCAAGCATGTAGGTACTAAATATTTGAAGTTTGTGATGGTGATGCTGCTGGCGGCGCACAGTGGTTAAAAACTTGCATTTAGTGTTCACAATTCATCAGAGCCAGCATTTTTTATTCAATTTGATATTTTTTTTTCCAAAAAAAGAGGAGTGGAGCCCGATTTTTGAATTTTTGTTTGTTTTGATTAAATTTTTTAGTGCAAAAAGCAGAAAGAGTAGCAATTTTGAATAAAAATGCATTCTCCTGTTCTAGTGGATAAATGTTAGATGATACAAACTAGTTGAAAAGAATTGTAGGGTTCCTTCAAAATGAAAAAAAAAATCACAAAAAAAAATTTGGAATGTTATAAAAAAAAAATTCATACAAATTAAAAAAAAAAAATATATCACTAAATTTTAGTATAACAAAGTGCAATTTGCAAGTGGCTAAGAGGTCGCTTTGATTTTTAATAATTTTTTCGCTAACATTTCGAGCACATCTGCACGCTAAATGGGAAATAAAAGTTTATTCTGTTGAACATTTTTTTTATAACATTTCATTTTATTTTGAATTTTTTTTTTCGTTTTGGCAGAACCAATTGTGTTCATTTAAAAAATAAAACAAAATCAAACTGAGTGAAAAATGAAGGTTCCAGTAAATTGTGCACACAAAATGTCAATTTTGAACCACTGTGCAGTGATGGTCTACATTAGTTTCGTTTGTTTTTACGACTACCTCTCTCTCTCTCTCTCTCTGTTGGTATTATTTGTGCGGGCGCCCACAAAACGATTTGTGTGGCTTTTTTGGTTTGCTCAGCGGTTTCGATGTTTGAAACCACATTAATAACCAATTATCCATGTTGTACGTGTTGTCATTGGGTCGAGCGTTACGTGCCAATTTTTGCTTAGCAAACTGCCAAAAGTCACGCTGAGTCGTACGTATGTATGTATGTATGTACGCGAATTTGTGTTGCGCATTTATCCGATTTGTATACCTATGCGCATGCACGGCAATCGGTCGTGATTTCATTTAAGTATTTTATTTTTATTGGCCACAGCTAGATATGTAGATACATACAGCTTTGTTTTACTTAGAAACTTCTTTTTGCACTTTTTCAAACTACTATTTTGATTGGATCTGTTTCAGGTAATGGATGATCGTTGGGAAAGTGAAATCATCGAATTTGGCGCCATCAATATAACCGGATTTCGTATTGTTGACACTAATCGCCGGTTTGTACATGATTTCCTTGACAATTGGAAGCGTTTGGATCCGGCGACATCGATGGGCGCGGGCAGAGAATCAATATCGGTATGCATACATACAAACATACATACGTAAATACATATGTACATATTTACACATAAGTAATACAAATATTTGCTTAACAAAAATGCATGCATGTAAAACGATAACAACAATGTGCCTGAAGCGTTAAGCCACAGGCATTTGATGTCATGATTCTATGAAAGCCTGTATACACATGTCCTTATAGCCAGTGTGTGTATGCGTAAATATGTATAAACACGTGTGACATAAAATTTTGATTTCACAAGCTTCAAGTCACATAGGCATACTTTTGCATACTTAAGGGAATATATGAATAAAGCAAATAATTGAGTATAGCCACCCAGCAGTGAAAGGTATGTAATGTAATGTAGTAAAATGGAGCTTACCGAAAACACAGAATGACACTTTTATTTCAAATTGCCGTTTTAAAGTCGGTTAAATCGAAGAACGGTTTATGTAGTCGTACGATTCAATTCTTTTATAGTTTTTGTACTCTCGTAAATTGATCTAAAAAATTTAGGAATCAACATTTTATTTTTCCTCAATTGATGCATACTGATCTAGGCTTTGTTCTAGAAAATCTATTAAATTTGAAAAAAAACACAGCATTTCGCAAATATGTAACCATTTTCCTGAGTAGGGCTTAGAATTTATGAAATTTCCGTTGAATGCATATTTCGTTGTCTAGATAGCTTTTGCATAAATCTTGATATAGAAACCGGTATGAACAAAAATTAATTACAAAAAAAAAATTTTAATTTCAATGGTTGTTAGATCGCAGAGTTTTTTTTTTCTTTACAAAAATTTAGTAAAAGGCGTTATTTGAAGATCGACCTATTTCCTGACGATTTCTGTCTGCATCGATTGCATTGGTCAACGAAATTGCACTTTTGGCCTGATTTTTTGAGCATTCAGAAAAGCTCTCTGACTGCAACTTCTGCCAGAGTTTTTTTCAAATTAGGATCTTAATAAGATTAGATTAGCTACACTGCCCGAAAAAAGTTGGGCGCAGAGAATTTGTTTGCAATTTTTATTATATTTTTTTATTAGATAATTTAAATTTTTTAATAAAATACTGTTCATACTACAACAAAAAAACATAAAAATATAATTTCTAAGTGTTATGAAAAGCTCAGGAAAATTCTGTAAATTTTCACACAAATTTTCAACTTTTTAATCAGCTTATTTAGAATTTTTTTGAGTACGTAATTTTGTAGCCCGATAAACTTTATTCTAACAAAGTGCAGGTTTGAAGTAGCTGGGACTAACGGTTGATTTTTGGCAAATTTTTTTACGCAGTCTCTTCCATACAAAAAAATTTTTAAAATACTTTGTATGGAAAAAATACGAAACACCATGTGTCATATTTTCTTAACTAGAGCTGATACAGAAATTTTAATCACAGATTTGAATTCGTCATTCAAAATTAGGCTAGCATTATATAATACAACCTAATCGTCTGAAACGCTGTTGTGCGGTGTTATTTATATTTTGATTAGTATCATTCAAAAATCTATTTTTTTATTTCGATCTGGCATCTTTACTTTGATTCAGACTGCGGTAAATTTCGCATAACTGTATTGGTTATCGGGGACATAATTTTTTTTACCAAATAATATCGAGCCCCAAATGCCAAAAATATGTAAGCGACAGTTTTTTTTTTCAAATTTTCTTTTTGATGCAGAAATATTCCTAGAGCATCTAGATGTAAATGTCGCTTACATCTTATTGGTTTTTAGGGCCAAGCATAGACTACCGAGTACGCGAAGGTTAAATACTGCGCCCAAAACTGTACCGAAAAACCTCAATTTTAAAAGCACTAACGATGGCAACTGTTAATTTTATTGCTATTACCTACGTTTTCCTCGTTCATCTTTCAAATACCTTTGGTCGCTAGTTAACTTAAAAATTCCCAAATACCTCCAAGTGGACCCAAGGCTGTAGTCACATAACCAGGAGCCGAATCCCTTACTAATTAACCGAGATTTCATTTTTGCCTGTACACTTTGACACTTCTTGTGCAGTAGCTGGTTTGTGTTTGAAGTTGTTGAATTAGTCAGCTTCATACCAGTCAACGAACTAGTCAACATCCGCATCAGTCTCATATCAGTAATTCTACTGTACTTTTTTTTTATTATTTAGGTTGAATTTTCACTCCAGGGTACTTACATATGTAAATATATATGTATGTATGTAAATAGAAATTATTTATTTACATGAAAATGCAAAACGCCCCAAAAACATGCTCCCGAACATACTTGCAAGTCTTTGAAAACATATTCATAACAAATGTCAGGCGCCGCACTCTCGGCTCAACTCAGCTCAGCTCAGCTCAGCTCAAGCAGCCAACCCAACCCATTCGATTTCTATCGTGCTTAACGTAAACTTCTCATGTTTGTATTTGTTTTGTACTTCCGCCTTTTTGTTTGTTTCTGTCATCGTTGTGCTCTTCTTGTTATTATTATTGCATTCATACATATTCTTATTATTATTTTGTTATTTGTTATGCTTTGACAGGGTAAATGTGGCGATAATGTCGATATAACACACAGATAAAGCTGGCCGCACACGCGCCCCAACACTGATACACTGACACCAGTACAAGCGTGCACTCAACGCCCAAAATGTTAAAAAGGGTGAAAGTTGTGCACAAATGGCAAACACGAACACACACACACACAAAAAATATGAGAAGTGTCAAAGTTTTTCCGCACGTACATCGCCGCCCTTTTTATTTGACGACTTTAGCTTTGGCTTTGGCTTTCCGCAGGCGGCATTGCATTTTGATGGCACACCTAACGATATGTAAATCGTAGATAATCCCCACATTATTCCCATTCCAAAAGCCATAATGCTAAAAGCGTGCACGGAAAACGATTGAGTGAAATGATATTTTAAAAATAAACCTGCTGAATTTGTTTTTTTTTATGGAGATGAAAGCTGGGGTCATTAGATTGTATTTTAACTGTGATGGAAATTATAGAAAATACATACATATATGATAGGAGAAAATTTTCCACAATTTTTCACTAATATAAAATTAGTTTCTGTACGTATGTATGTATCTGAATAAAAACCCGAATATTCGGATACCCGTACTACCGCACAGTGTGTTGATATTCGGATATCCGAGTAATGTATAGATATTCGAAGACCAGTTCGAAGACCAACCGAAAACGAATACAAAGAAAAATAAAAGGAAGTATACGGCGACAAAGATCAAGACGAACGCGAAGACCATCATCGTAGCAAGCTCTTTTGGCGCCCTAGGCAAATTTCAAAAATCTTCAATCCATGGTTAAGTTAGGCCGCTTGAGTCAACATTAAATTTTTTGCCTGCGAAGTTTTAGTTACGCGATCAATTTTTGAAAATGAACTTTTGGTCAAGAAAATGTTTGCAATATTAAATAGTGACAGGATTGACTCTGATAATTTCTAGTAATATAAATAGTTGATAAACAGTGAATGGTAATAATTAACCATTCGAAAAGACTTACCCAATAAGGACTGAAGAAAGTACTTCCCTGCATGCTTCCTAGAAAGGGATTGCCTATTTACAATTTACGCGAATGTAGCATTATATATAGGATTCAATAAGCATTTTAAGGCTCAATAAAATATATTTGATCGGAACCTTAAATATTTAAATTCCTTAAAGAAATATGATTTTTATGAACTAAAAACAGACTTAAAAAGAACTTCTTCAAAAGACCTTCAGAATTACTTACTCCTACAAAAGCTCTTCTGGAAGCTCTTCTTTGAGTAGCGAAAGCAGAAGCCCTTCAATATGCACCACTGCGTACAAAAAAAGATGGAAGGCATAGTATGTGAGACCCCTCAGCTGTGTATCTGTTCAAGAACTTGCACTTTTTTTTGGCATTCGCCCGAAGATACAAAAGGTTGTAAGTGTTCGTAAAAATTCTAAGAAATCAACCGTAATCTCTAGTGATATCTAATCTTGTACTTTATTTTACTAGAATTTAATGGGCTACAAAACTGCATACTCAGAATGTAATTGAAAACATGAAATTTTTACGAAAATTTTTTTAATTTTTTTTTTTTAATTCAATAAATTTTTAAGGCAGTGTCGCTCGATTGGTACATAGTCAAAATATTGGCACAATACAGCAATCTTCTATTGAGGAATTTCAACAAATTATTTGTCGTGATTCGAATAAAGAAAAATATTTGGGTATTCACACAATTGGGATACGATTTGCACCACCAAATTTCGGCAAATACCCAATCTTGTAACACTGCCTTTAAACTTGTATTTATACGGATGTTGTTAAAGAATGAACTATGAAAAACTAGCCAAAATTAAGAAACAACAAAAATAATGTGGGACTTGTCAAAATTTGGTGCGGCTATAATTTTTTCGACTACTGTACATAAGTTGACTATGATTACTCGGCCGTGCTATCATAGTAGCACAATGCCACTAATATTTGACTTACAAACAAAATATGGGCAGGAATTTCAAAATTTCAACCCGGTTTGTGTGAAATATTTTATTTTTTATTAGTATTTTTCTTTTAAAGCTAAGAAGCCTACATTGGCTTATAAAGCGTAACTCCCAAATATTGAAATACTACAAGGATTCTAATCGCCTCGCCTAAAGAGGAAGCCAACAAAATATCTTCTTAACTGATTATGCGCACTGATCTCGCACATGAAATGGGTGCATTCCATAAAGGCCAATGAAAAAATGACTTCATACTTTTATATATACATATATGTTGAGACAAATAGTTTGCTAAATGTATTACATACAGATTGCAATAAAAAAAGGATACAAAAAAAAATTGTCTTTAAGGAGTTAAATAATCCTGGTTGAAGAAGAATTTTGACAGTAAACAGGCACCCCTAATATAGTTTATGAAGAGAGTACCACCAAATTTCTTCATTTTAAGACTTATAACATTTTTCTCATACAGAGACCTTTTTCTAGAAGGCCACCAGGGTGCTGGACTAGGGTAATTATTATAGCAAACCTGCACTAGTGTCGGAAGGCTGGGCAACTTCACTCTAAGGGAAGTTAGTTAGCAGCAGCCTCTCTTGCAATTGAGCTAGTATCCATTGTGACCACTACCATAGTCGCCGTTACTTCATTAAGTTTGACTTCTATTATACTTATCTCTCCTTCAAACTGAAGTGACACTGCGGTCTCATTTAGGGACTCCAGTTCAAGGTCCCTCTGTACTTCATCAGCACCTGAACTGTTTTGTTTCCATCAATTTAGCGACGTTTATCTGGGTGAAGATGTATTTATCTGAGGGATCAGGTCTTAAGCTTTGTTCTGTCACGCTTCCCCAATTCATCCCATCGGCTGTTGGAACTTCTATTCTTACGGGAATGATTTTTTTTATAGTCCCGGTAGATAACCCTCCGATTAATTGGTCATATATTAGAACCATATAAATTTTTTTTCTGTGAAGGGTATTCACGCTATTCGTAAATATGTATTCCAATAAAATACTTATAATTACAATTCTGTAATTAAGAAGCTATTTAGCTCAATTAAAGATTATAATTACCTAGTAAATATAATGACATTTACATAATAGCACATCTCCCTTTATAAGCAATCATAAGTTAAACTGAAAAAAACACGTGTACCTACACCTAAAAGTTTTTGTTTCTTTTTGATGCTAGAATCTCGGCAATATTTTTTAATATATTTAAGCAGAAAGAACGTCATACTAAATCTACATAAAAACATGAAAATAAAACAAAAGCATGCTAACCAACGTACATACATACTTACATCATACACACATACGAAAGAAAAAACACAAAAAAAAAAAATTCTACAATATTCCCACGAGTAAGCACATGCGTACTTATGTACATATGTATGAAAGAGTAAACACAAAAATCTGATATTAAAAGGCACTTAGAAGCGTAGCTCGATGTGACCATAAGTCGACCATGGCTGCATTAGCAATTTACATACACACTCACAATTATTTTAAACACAATCCAAGTTTATACATGCATACCTGTGTAAATACACATACATATATGTATATAGGCAAACATGTTTTTCATTATAAACATATGTACACATCTATGTTCTTACATCCATTTGTGTATATTTACACCTCTGTTGTCATGTTGTCCAGCAAAACAAAAGCGCCAAGTAATATGCTCATTAAATGTTAACATGTCCTTCCGTTTCCGCTACGTCAACCAACAAGAAAAACAAAAAACAAAAAAAAAAAATGCAACCTAACACTCCCACGTAAATATGTATTACAAAAACCACACTTCTTTACCTCGCCCACTTACCACTTACATATTTACAATATCGTTTTCTAACTCGACCTACAGGCACAGGCCGCCCTCATGTACGATGCCGTTTTCGTTCTCGTCGAAGCTTTCAACAAAATTCTGCGCAAGAAACCCGATCAATTCCGCAACAACATCCAACGTCGAGGTCAACAAACACTTATGGCAGCGGCCTCCACGTCCATTAACGGTACAATGGGCATGACAGGTGGCGGCAATGCTGGCGGCATGGGCAGCGGTATCGGCGGCAGCGGTATCGGCGGCGGCGGCGGCGGAGGAGGTATTGGCCCTGGTGGCGGCAGTGGCGGTAGCAATACGCCGCGGGCACTCGACTGCAAC